GTGTACTTATACCACAGATTATACTTTGTATTAATTACTACACTGCAGTCACAAAAGTAAACTAAATAAAACAACATTATTGGATGAAATCAGAGTAACGCTGAAGTCTGTTATTTCCTAATAATTTCAGGTTTCTAATAATAAATGAATTATGAATAAATTCTAAATTTGGTTCTTTCAAGGAAATGTTCTCTATTTACATCTTTATTCTGTGATTACAGGAAACTTTTAATGAATCAGAAAAGAAGACTTATTATCTGTACCTGTCACCACTCCAGTAAAATGAGCCTAAAAGGCCTATCCAAGGCGTACCCAAAGTAAACTGAAAGCTGTTCTTGAACCATTGGGAGTACATGCATGGTTTTGGTCTCTTTTGAAAGGCAACACTCTGAAGTTTTTTCCCAACAGTCAGAATCACTGTAAGTGCTACTGGCATTGAGTAATAGCAGTTTGAACACACTGAATTAGAAGGTTTTTATTTCCACCTGAACAAACAGATGCCTGCAGATGACTATAGCTGAGACTTATTAGCTGGAAAACACAATGGGACCGCAGCATGAAGCCTTACCTAGTCCAAGTTCAAATCTGATAACAATACCACAGAAAATGAATATTTCACACATGTTTTTCTAAGGGTATGTCTAGGCGCTTTCCAAAAAAGGACATTTGAAGACCCATGGTAACCGGTCACATACCTAAGCTGTGTAGAAATGTGTATTCATAATTCAAACTAAAGCTTATTTATGTCGAAATACAGTAAACTATAAGTTATTTCACCATTATTCACTTTCCTAAAGTCTCCAAAACTCTCAAAAACAACACTTTGCATTTTATGCACGAACGCAGGCACCTGACTCACGGTTACGCAGTTACTTCCTCGTTCTGCATCTAAATCTAACCCCTGAATCTGAATATCGTCATTTTCAAAATTACCCGAAAGAAGAGGGGCCAAGAGTTGGGTCAAGTGAGGTGTCAATCAAAAGGTCGGAATGCAGCCGCCATCTTGAGACCCAGAGAGCGTTAATGTTTACATGCAAACTGGAGTTACGTTAGAAAATACATAAATAATTAGTCATATCTGCTGGCTAACTTGAAATGATGCAACAGCAGTCCGTGGGTATTTATGGTAATAATGTGTTTTGGACTAAATATTTTACTGGATTGGATCGTCTGTACCTTTGTTAATGTAACAAGAGCGCTTTTGTTGGAATATTATCGATGATGGATTATTATGAAGCTTCATTGGTGAGTTGTCTCAATTTTGTAATTGTTTGTTTGTGGGTTGGGGGTCTGACAGGCGTTGAGTGAACCTGCTGTTGTGATTGTATCTTGAAATGATTTGCATAAATCAAATCACAAGAATCTTAGCTTTCCAAAGACATGTCGCATCAGTGCCTACATATACATAGCAGTTGTGTACATGACACAGATGTACACTTAACACGGCAAAGGCCCGTGGGCGGTCCGTCGGAGTGTTAACAGGCAAGTACTTTTACTTTCAGTACATTTCACTGATACTTCTGCACTTTTACTTCGGTAGGAAGTATTTTTACTGTGGTATTAGTACTTTTACTTACATATTCGATGAAACCAGAGTGTGTTATTTCCTCATAATTTCCTCTGTAATCTGGTGCAGATAAAGAATAGAGACTGAAATGTGTCGACATGCAGCACAGTTCAAACTTCTCTTTATTTAGTAGGAAGTCGTCATCTGATAACACTTTACGATAAGTAGGATTTTAAATGTGTGACTTATACTTGTAACAGAGTATTTCTTCATCGTGGTATTAGTACTCAAAGATCACAGTACTTCCTCCTTCAGCCACCAGGGGGCAGCAGAGCGTCGCTGTCCGTCACTCAGCCTCCATTAAAATAAATGACTTGTATCAGTGTGACAACATGTGAAGGTGTGTGTTGTTTCTGACCAAAGAACTGCACAAATTACATGAAACTGAGCCTGTGTGTGTGTGTGTGTGTGTGTGTGTGTGTGTGTGTGTGTGTGTGTGTGGGTGTGTGTGCTCACACTGCCCCACACTGTTCACACACTGTGTATACATACCAGTGTGTGTGAGGCCTCTCTGTCTGTCGCAGCCTGTTTACTCAAACTTTATTTTGGGAAAATTCCACCTCTCTGCACGACTCTGGACATAAATCACTGAAACCTGCAGGCAGCAGCTTCTGTCAGTCACACACACACACACCTAGACACATGCACACACACACACACACACACACACATACACACACACACACACACACACACACACACACATACACACACACACTGACCTGCAGACATCATGTGTGTGTGTGATGAGTTGTGTTTTTGTTGCTGTAACTAAGTACATTTAAACAAGTGTTTTCACAGTTTGTCTTCATGTTTCAGACACAAATGTTTTTAATATCAAGGCTGTCATTACAGGTAATAGCAGGTAATAGCAGATAATAATGGGTAATAATGGATAATAACAGGTAATAACAGGTACTAGCAGGTAATAACAGGTAATAGCAGATAATAATGGGTAATAATGGATAATAACAGGTAATAACAGGTACTAGCAGGTAATAGCAGGTAATAGCAGATAATAATGGGTAATAATGGATAATAACAGGTAATAACAGGTACTAGCAGGTACTAGCAGGTAATAACAGGTAATAGCAGATAATAATGGGTAATAATGGATAATAACAGGTAATAACAGGTACTAGCAGATAATAATGGGTAATAATGGATAATAACAGGTACTAGCAGGTAATAACAGGTAATAGCAGGTAATAACAGGTGATAATAATGTCTCCATGTCTTTTGCTTATTAATGTTGAGTTGCTCTGGATTATATTTCTACTACATTTTATATCAAACATTCACTTTATTAATCAGTTTAATTGTTTAGATTATAAATCTATAGTCTCATAATTAATCCATACTTTGGTTTATTAATTACTTAATTCTTTTTTTTCAGTTATCAGTTTATTTATTTTGTTAATTGTCTTTGTTAAACTTTTCACTGAATTTATTATTTTTTCTGGTGAAACTTAACATGATTCAGATTTATGAATGAATTGTTTATTCTTCCATTCATCAGTTTATTCCTTTTATTTATTAATGAATTCACTGTTTGTCAATTAATTTGCACTATTTATTCATGAAATAAATGAATTCTCTGAAATTGAATTATATAATTTAACTGCTGTGATGCAGATTCACTGAGTCGATCGATGACGTCATTGATCCGTTCAGTCGGTTTTATATTTCAATCATTTTTATTTATTCACTTGTTTTTTATTCTGTTCTTTCTGTTTTCACTGAATTCAGATATTAATGTTTGTGCGTCTTGCCAATCAATAAAATAGATAAATAGAATATGACAGAAAGTCACGAGCAGAACATTAATGTTGAAGATCAAAGACGTAAAGATTTCCTGGATTGAACCAACAGACCAAAAGTACAAGTGAGGATTAAAAGTTAAAACTACGTCAAGTGTCAGAAAGAGACGCCTGCTGGTCACAACCTGAAGCACTGCATGATGGGAAAGAATCAACGTCCACACCGAACTACACGAAAGAAAGTTGAATGTAACGCGACGGTCGTCAGACGTTTCCGCTCCGACAGAACGATAGAAATGAATCCACACGCTTCACTCGTTCAGCTTTTTTATACTTTATTTTCAAACACCTTGAAAATGTCAGAGAGGCACAAGAACCTGAAGCCGACATGAGCACCAGATAGATATCAGTCATCACAGGAACAACTAAAGAAATACATATGTACAAATATAAATTAACACGTTATTTCAGAAAGACACTGTGACGGCAAAATGTATTAAAATGGTATAAAAACTGGTAAATATAAGTGAATGTGGAACGTCAGCTTACATTGATTCTGTGCGTAGTGCAAGAAAATACTGTCAACAATACAAATTATTAAAAATTCACATTCATAACAGCTTTGGTCCAAAAGAGAAGTGAAGACGACGACAGAAGGATTCATGTCGTTGTTTTAATGAGAGTTACAACATGCGGCTCCGGATGAAATGTGTGGTTTGGATTCAGGTCCAACAAGCACAACGTGTCCTCCTGAAGACCTGGGGGGGGGGGGTCCTCTAAAGACCTTCTATCAAACACAGCTGATCCTTCAGTAATAATAATGTTATATTAATAATAATTCACTCTATTCATTCGAGAGAAAACTGAACAAAAACGTACTTAAACAAATGATCTTCACTCAATGTTCTCTTATTGGCTTCTTTGGGGGCTTTCAACCGCACCTCCATGTTCTTCATCAGTGGACGGAGCAGCTGGTCATGTGACCAACAGGTTCCACACATTAACAACAACAGCTCGTGTCATGAAAACCGAGAAAGACTCCGTCTGCCGATGAAGAAGAGCATGCGGGGCGACCGAGAGCTCTGGCTAACAAGCTAGTAAGTGACTTTGACTGAATTCATTTAGCGATGCACTTTAATCATCGACGGTCAACAAACCAACGTCCGCACCGAACATCCAGAACATCCGGAACATTCAGAACATCCAGAACATTCGGAACATCCAGAACATCCGGAACATTCAGAACATCCAGAACATTCGGAACATCCAGAACATCCGGAACATTCGGAACATCCGGAACATYCRGAACATCCGGAACATCCRGAACATYCGGAACATCCRGAACATTCGGAACATCCAGAACATCCGGAACATTCGGAACATCCAGAACATCCGGAACATCCAGAACATTCGGAACATTCGGAACATCCGGAACATCCAGAACATTCGGAACATCCAGAACATCCGGAACATTCGGAACATCCGGAACATCCAGAACATCCGGAACATTCAGAACATCCAGAACATTCGGAACATCCAGAACATCCAGAACATTCGGAACATTCGGAACATCCAGAACATTCGGAACATCCAGAACATTCGGAACATTCGGAACATTCGGAACATTCGGAACATCCGGAACATCCGGAACATTCGGAACATTCAGAACATTCGGAACATTCGGAACATCCGGAACATCCGGAACATTCGGAACATTCGGAACATCCGGAACATCCCGTCCTCACTGAGCTCACTGTGGTTCAGTTTCTTCACAGCTTTAAAATAACCAGACGACAAAACGAGTCACACATTAAGAGTCACGTCGTTCTGATACCAGTCTGGATTCTGCTGAGGTTTGACTCAGCTTTAGTTAGAATGAGTAATGATCACGTGCACTGTTCACCTCCAGCTCTGGAGTGTTTCTGGATGTGTTGGTACCACATTGGAGGAACCGGTAGAAGTTGAAGTGGGACGCCGGTGTGAAGACTAAACTGTTGAGGATGGATGAAGAACCTCCTCCTCCTCCTCCTCCTCACAGACTCAAATACTTTGACCAAGAAGGAGTTCCCTCTGTTCACCGTGTTGTTGTTGTCTCCTGCTGGACTACTGAGACCACAGGGACCTGGATCGTCTGTTTTGGGACGGCAGAAGGAAGAGTTCTCGGGGGATCCGGGATTTGGACCGGAACCACAACGGAACCCTGAGAGACCCGGTCTCAGCTAGACCCTCAGTGGTTCCGTGAGTTGAAGAACCCCACGCTGGTCGGCGACTCCTTCACCGTCACCGTGATGAAGTTGGCGGTGACGTCGGTGACGAACACGTGCTCCAGGAGGCTCCGGGCCGGCCGCCAGTCCGTGTCAGCGTCGGACCCCGTAGCGTCGTCGCCGAGGCTCGGCCTGCTGTTGTTCGGGTACAGAGCGGCGTCGTCCCGCTCCGACTCGCTGCTGCTGCTGGTTTCGTCCGAGTCGCCGGTGCTGAGCTCGTTCAGGCTCCGGTTCTGAGAGGCGAGCGTGTGTTTCCTGTCCTCGTGTCTCATGCCGCCGCCCGTCGTCTTGGTCGTCACCTCCTTCCCCCGGTCCTCCCGTAACCTTCTCTGCTCTGTACCGCCGCCGCCCGCTGCCAGACCGGGCCGCTGCCCGCCCGAGCCGCTGCCCGCCCGAGTCTCTTTGCCGCTCCCCGCTCCCCCTTTCACAACGACAGCGCCGCTCCTTAAGCTCGACCTCGCCGCCACTGCTCCGGCGCCGTTCCCCTGAAGGCCGCCGCCGGCCGCTGGCTTGCTGACGCTCTGCAGGTTGAGCGCTCGGAGGTTGAGCGCCTGGTTGGCTCGGTCTCGAGGCGTCGGCGAGGACGTTGCTTTGGAGAGGTTCTGCTGCTTGTGCTGGACCGACCCGGCGCCCTCCTGTCTCCTCTGGCCCAGCGGGGAGCGCTGAGCCGCCGGTCCACCGAAGCTGCCGTGTAAACCCAACGACCCCGAACCTCCACCGGGTTTCAGACCTTTGTACCCGCCTCCCGATTCTGAGACGGAGCGCTTCAGCTCGGAGTTCTTACTTTGTGCGGACGGACCGGTTTTGCCGTAGGAGGACGGAGACATGGAACGACTGGTCCAGATGCAGCCGAGGGAACCCGGTTTGGAGGCGGCGGCGGTCTGGGAGAAGGAGCTGGAGGAGGTCTGGGAGGCAGAGGAGGAGGAGGAGGAGGACTCCTCTCTGGAGGACCGGCTCAGACCGGTGTAGGTGAAGCTGGCCGGCTGCAGAGGTTTCTTCACCCCGGGTCGAGGATCCTCCCTGGGGGGTCTGAGCACCTGGTGGTGGCGAGGAGGTGGAGGTGGAGGAGCAGGTGGAGGAGGAAGAGGAGGAGGAAGAGGAGGAAGTCTTCGCTTGGCTTGCCTCAGCGCCCTCAGGTCCGGGTGGAGCGGCTTCCTGCCGCGCTTCTTCTTGCAGGGAGGATCCGGTTTGGCGAGAACCATCTGAGGCCTCTTCTGGGGGACCGGGTGGTGGACTCGAGGCTTCGCCTTCTTACCGTGGTCTTCATCATCATCATCCTCCTCCTCCTCTGAGGAAGAGGAGGAGGCGGACGACGAGAGGCCGGAGGAAGAGGAGGACGAGGAGCGGCCATCTTTAGTCTCGGCCGGTTCGGGCTGCTGAGAGAAGGAAGAGGAGGAAGAGTGAGAGGAGGAAGACTCTGGTGATCACATGAGACTGTGGAGAGAAGAAGAAGAAGAAGAAGTACCAGAATCTTCCTCGGTCTTCCTCGCGGCCGCTTCCCTTTCTTCTGGAACAGAAGCTCTCGCTCTTGTTCTCTGACAAACATCAACAACAGTTCAGATTAATCGCCTTTTAAATATTTAATCACACAATGTTTGGACACGTTCAGTCTTTCCTCACGTTTCTTGAATTAAGTCGTGTTTTATAAATCGTGTTAATTTACCACAAACTAAAATAAACTGAAATAAATAAACTGACCTCTTGTGGAAAGCTGCCAGCAGCCTCGGGTCCAGAATGTTCTCCTCCGGCTCCCAACTGTTGTGTCTGAACACAGGAAGAGAAGAAAGAGAAGGAATAGAAGGAGAGAAGAAAGAAAGAGAAGGAATAGAAGGAAGAGAAGAGAGAGAAGAAAGGAAGAGAAGAGAGAGAAGGAAGAGAAGAGAAGAAAGAGAAAGAAGAAAGAGAAGGAATAGAAGAGAGAGAAGAAAGGAAGAGACGGAAGAGAAGATAGAGAAGGAAGAGAAGAGAAGAAAGAGAAGGAAGAGAAGAGAAGAAAGAGAAGGAATAGAAGAGAGAGAGAAGGAAGAGAAGAGGAAGAACAAGAGAAACATAATCATGATTTTAGTTGATTAATTATTAATAACTTTAATACATTTGTTTGAGATTTTGGACAAAACAAGCGTTTGTGATGATGTCATAGTTATTGTTTTCTGAGATTAATAATCACAGTAATCAATGACTACGATATACAAACTACTTCAATACAACGTTAAAGTACTTCATTTCACTTCCTGCTACTGTAGTACTCTACAGATTATTATGAACTAATAAATGATGATGTATGAGCACATATAAAACAAAGTCATTCAAACGAGCTGCTCCTTTAACGTGATCAACAATAACATCAATCATTATATATCTTTAAAGTATTTTTAATTTGGTACTTTGTGTATTTGGGTTTGTAGTAATATTTTAAATGCAGGACTTTTATTTGTAGTATTTGTAGTATTACCAGTACCTTTTATTGCAGTACAATATCAGAGTGCTTCTCCAGCTGTGAAGGATGTTTACTGCTTTCATACTGACCTGCTGTGACCATAATAACTGTGTATGTACATATATATATACAGTATATAATTGTATAATGATATTAACCAGTGTTATGAGTATAAATGTGACCGTGTTATCCGGTGCCGGTGTGTCCGTCTAACAGAACCAGCAGCTCGGTGTGAAAGCGGCTCAGAAAAGCCGAACTGGCCGCTGGGAGCTCGGTGTGTGTCCGGCATTGTGTTGAAGATAATACAATAAAAGCCCGCAGTTTGACTCCCTCTGCTCGGATATTTAAACCCTGACCAGCGGAGAGTAAACACCGTGGCATTGTTGGGCGCCATCTTTTTTTTTTAGTGTAGTGTTGTGTGTCGTTAGCATCGGGTGGCTAGCAGCTAGCTCCACTTACTTGGACGACCACCCTCTCCACTTCACCAGATACTCAAACTTGCCCTGTGGAGAGACGACACGAGAGGTCAGCACACGAGACACGTCACGAGACGACGGACCCCCCGGAGCGTGTCTTACCTTTCTGGGCCGTTTACTGAGGATGCATTCCGCATCAAATACCTGACCGACTGTGACCCCCTCCATTACTCCATTACTACCGCAGGAGACCACCGGGACGGAGCGCGGAGCGAACTCATGACCCACCACGGCCACCGTAGACCCGCCTCTTCATGTCTGTCACGTTTATTATTATAATAACCACAGTATTATGATTATTAGACCCTCCTCTACACGTTTATTATTATAATAACCACACATTATGATTATTAGACCCTCCTCTACACGTGTATTATTATAATAACCATATTATTATGATTATTAGACCCTCCTCTACACGTTTATTATCATAATAACCATATTATTATGATTATTAGACCCTCCTCTACACGTTTATTATTATAATAACCATATTATTATGATTATTAGACCCTCCTCTACACGTTTATTATTATAATAACCACAGTATTATGATTATTAGACCCTCCTCTACACGTTTATTATTATAATAACCACAGTATTATGATTATTAGACCCTCCTCTACACGTTTATTATTATAATAACCACATTATTATGATTATTAGACCCTCCTCTACACGTGTATTATTATAATAACCATATTATTATGATTATTAGACCCTCCTCTACACGTTTATTATTATAATAACCACATTATTATGATTATTAGACCCTCCTCTACATGTTTATTATTATAATAACCATATTATTATTGTTATTGTTGTTATTATTTTATAAACACTCACTATAATAATACAGAATTATCTTCAGGAACCCAAAACTGCTTTTACTGAACTTATTCAGATTACATTTGTTTGATTTGTTTAATAAAGGCAAAATAATACAAATAACAAACAATATGATGGCATAACAATATAATATCACAAAAATAAATATAAATAAAAACATGAATAAACATTTTTATGAAAAGAAAATAATACGATAACGAGACAAAATATGATTCATGTGATGAATTAGTTTGACGTTTCTTCTACATCTAAATATTACATAAATAATATAATATATAAAACATGAAATACATGTTTTATATCATCTCACACGTCACTGGAGCTTTGTCACCGATTAATTATTATATTTATATTATCTTTATTATGTTCAGGGTGTCACGAGGACTTCTGGGTTTTAACGAGTGTAAAATATAATAATAATAATAATAATATACTGTCGGCCTAAATCTCAACATGTCTT